AAGATCGAGTACGCACGATGATCATTGGAATGCCTTTCCTTATGCTTGGTAAGCAATATTCCCTCAATTAGCCTTTTTCTTTGTTTTTGTGCTATATCTTGATTCTTTATAGAAATAAAGCAAATAAATTTTGTTTGTTTTAAGAGGAAAGCAGATATATATAGTAGGAATTTACTTGCACACAAATTTTACTTACTATATTATATAAAATCTTAATAATTTATTTCTTTATTTTTTATTGTTAAAATTTATTCACATTTATTAAAAATAATTATTTTTTCACTTTAAAAATCGTGATAAATTTCAGCCATCGAAAATAAGAAAATAAATAATTGAAATTTTATATAAATATTAATAAAGTGATAAAGAAGGTTGAGAGTGAAGAGACAATTTGATTATTGATCGAGCTTACATATATATATACAAGTGACTCCTAATGTTGGCCTATTTAACTCTTACGGAAGAAACTAATAAAACGTAAATACACATAATGTAGAGAATCATTGAGAATTGATAGCCTATGTGATTGAGCCATGATTGAAGAGGTAGTATCCTGTGTTTCCTTAACAAATATAATGTGCAAGTGTAAGTAGATATAAATGTGAGAAGGAATCCACTTATATACAAAATTTACACATCATACTTATATAAAATCTCAACCATTCATCTCTTTACTTTCAATTGTTGAGATTTATCATGGATCCACTTCCACTTCCTCCACTTTACCCCAAACCCCATTCTGTCCATCATCCAATCAAGGAAAGACCAATCCACACAATCATATGCCTTCTCAAAATCAGCCTTAAAAATAAAATTCTATTGTTTCCTCCGTTTCACATCATCCACAATCTCATTCAACAACAGTACACTATTAACCAATTACCGACCCCCAACGAAAGCTGATTGTGAATCACTAATTAAATTTGCCATTACAGTCTTCAATTCATTGGCCAATACTTTAGCCAATAGTTTATACAAACACCCAATCAAACAAATAGGTTGATACTCCTTGAAATGTATAGGATTTAATTTCTTCGATATTAATGTTAAAAATGAAGAATTTAAACCACACACTAACCTTCCATACTGATGAAAGTCCTTTAAAAAAACCACAAAATCATTCTTCAAAGTGTGCCATATAAACTTTATAAAATTAAAATTAAAATCATCCGGACATTGTGCCTTTGACTCATCACAACTCTTGAGACCATCTTCTATTTCTACAATGGAAAAAGGCCTTTCCAGCTACTCCCGTTTTTGCACTGATATTCTGTTTAACTGAATCCCCCCATTAATGGACGGTTCCACTGATCCTTTTGAAACAATTCACTGAAATACCGTACAGCCTCCATTTTAACCAACTCTGGCTTTTCAATCCACCCACCTTCTAAGACATCTGATATTGTATTCTGTGCTCTCCTAGCCTGAACACTCCTATGAAAGAAATGGGTATTAGCATCCCCAAGACAAACCCAAGTATTCCTTGATTTTTGTTTCCATACTGCTTCCCTCTTCCTCAAAATATCCCACATCTCCTGAAAACATTCTCTTCTAATTGTCAACTCAGTCTCATTCAACTCTACCTCCTCACTTTTTTTGTCCAACATTTCAATCTGCTTCGACAATTTATCAACCTGAGCCTCCACATTACCAGAAACCCCCTTATTCCATCTTTTAAGATCCTCCTTTAATAACTTCAATTTCTGTTGACATTTGTAACCCGCCCAGCCTTCAATTTGCATCTCTCTCCATCTATCCTCCACAAAACCATGAAAATCTGAGTGTTGGTGCCATGCATCAATTGCTCGAAAAGGTTTTGGACCCTAATATGTATTTCTTGAGTTCAAAATAAGTGCACAGTGATCTGAAATTGACCTTCTAACTCCAACTTGAATCCACTCAGTGCTCAATAAACTCATCTATGTAGACAACAAAAATCTATCAAGACTACTCATGGAAGTTCCATCAGTCGTGTACCATGTAAACTTCCTATTCAACAAGCTGACATCAATTAACCCATTACCTTCAACAAATTGATTAAAATCATCCATATCATGAGTTTCTCCCATTCAACCCCTTTTTTCTGCCAAATTTCAAACTGAATTAAAATCCCCTGCTAAAAGCCATCTGTTAAAGCCATCTACCACTGTCAGCTGATATTAAACCACCTAGCTCCACCCACAACGAGGCCTTCGTCTGTCTATCACAGGGAGCATACACATTGACAAAGTTGCACTTTAGCTTCTCATGACCTCATTCACCAGATATCCCAATGAAACCACTACCCTCTATCACACCCTATCTAGCAAAACTGTTCTTATTCCATATGCACAACAAGCCTCCTGAACTAGCCACTGATTTCTGCATTACCCAATCAAAATCTTCTGAATTCCATAAGGTTTTACACATCGAAGCCTCAACCTCTTCCAATTTCGTTTCTTGAAGAAACAAAAAATCAGGATTCTCCTTCCCAACCAACCGAAGAACCTCCTTCCTTTTTAACAAATTACCTAGACCCCTAACATTAAAAGAAATCAACTTCATAATAGAAAATACATACCCACACTCATCAGCATAAACACCGCCCCCAGCTTCAGGCCTTCTCGAAACCGGCTGTATCCCTTTCCTCTAACGATACGAGCCTGGACATCACTTCATCCTGATTATTTTGACATTCAATACTCAATCTTTTCCCCAATTCAAACAACCTTCTCACTTCCTCCAGCTCTAATTCCCTTCGAATCAGACGATTTCTGTGTTTTATACAGCCATCGGACAATGAAGCACTAGCTTGC